ATCGTATTTCATATAGAAAAAATCAGTTTATTTGTTTATAATATGAGACTACTTTATATTAAATTCAATTCCGTATATCAGCATAAGAAACGTTGTTTGAAATAAATCAATTAAGCGATACCACTTTTCAGCAGTATAAAGTAACTTCAATAATTCTACATCTTGACAAATAATTCGACATTGATCTCCGAATAAAATATATTCCGTTCAATAAAATAGTGTCTGTTTTCTTTATTCAGTTTTATGCTATAGTAATATAAAATGTGTGCACAACAAAAATACTATCTCAAGATAATTTGGTTTTCCTTACAAAGAAACGTTAGAAAAAAAACCTTTGTACAATGGTGTTCACTTTTTATAATCAGAATAATGAAAATTGCATCGTCATAGAAAACTGTATATTACCAAAAAAGGATGGTAACAAGTTTCCGTTGATGCCGAAAGAAATACACCGTTACTATGTCGTTAGAAAAATTAACAATAACGTTTATGACGTCTTTACTTTCTTTGTACATTTTATTTAGCCAAATTAATACAAATTTATTTTACAGTTTTGAATGTATTGTATATCGTTGTGTTTTATTCACGAGTCTCTAAACCCGTAAGATCTAAACTAGTAAGATAATTCTGGAACTAATTCTTTATATAACAGCTATGTCTCTTTCTTTTGACACGTCATAGATATTTTTTAATTCATCAGTGCGATGGAAAACTAGTCATGACTTTCTTGTTTTGTCAGGAATGTGTATCAGAGCTTCACTTTGAAAAAAGAATATTGAGAAAGACAATCTTTTCATTTTCATCAGTATGATGGGAAACAAGTATGCACTTTTTTGTCAGGGTTGTGCAGTAGAAGTTAACTTCGAACAAGTCATGCATCTAGACTAATGATTTTCTTTTGCGTAGTTGATGTGCAGGCAGAAAAGAAAAATATGTATACCTTGAAATCTTGTTTTATACAGAAACAATGATCACTTCATTTGTTTATAACATGAAATCACTTTATATTAAATTTAATTCCATATAACAACATAAGAAACGCTTTATGAAATAAATCAATTAAATAAAACTACTTTTCGGCATTCCGAAGTAACTCCAATAATTTTTCATTTCCCCAGTTAGTCAGACATTTTTCTTCGAATAAAATATATTTCGTTCAATAGAATGATAACTGTTCTTTTTCTTAGTTTTATGCTGTAATAATATAAAATGTGTACACAACACAAAAACTATCTGAAGATAATTTCACTTTTTTTTCCAAAGAACCGTTAGATAAAAATACACTGCGCAATGATGTTTGCCTGTTATAATCAGAATAATGAAAACTGCATCGTCAAAGAAAACTGTGTATTACAAAAAAAAAGATGGTAATAGATATCTGCTGATGTTGGAAGAAAAACAGCGTTACTATGTCGTTAGGGAAAATTAACAATAACGTTTATGACGTCTGTAACAGTGTTTCTAATAGCAAGTGTACCAAGCATAATCGAAATGTACGGAACACTTGCTCCTCTTGAAATACACGCCGCGGTACACTTATCCCAAAAATTAGAGTGTACGAAATACACTTTGTTTAATAAAATAACACTTTGCTTCTAATTCTGAGGATTTTCAAGAATAATATGAATTTCAAAAGTTATGTCTCAACAATGAAACATTGTGACCTTTTTTGATACAAATTATCATTCGTATCTTGGAAAGATAATTGTGTTCGAATTTATTGTGTATTTGTTCATCTACTATTGTTTAATTGTTCTACGAAAGAAAAGCATAAACATTCTTCTATTTTTCACTTCTTTATTTTGTGTTAAACGTCAAGTGTAGCGGCGTAACCAGGGGGGGGGGGGCAGATGGGGTTTAACTCCATCACCGAGTGTTTAAGCCCCATCACCCGGATTTTGTGGAACTCATGTAAATTCTCGAAGAAAATCGTGAGTGTAAGTTTTAAGCTCAAGTTTCTCAGTTCCCCTCCCCCCCCCCAAATTCAATAAAAATACGCAAAAAACATTAAAAATAGCTACAGATTGCTAAAATGTTAATAAAAATACTGAAAAAGCGTTAAAAATAGCTGTAAATTGCGGGATTTTCTATAAAATATAAGCAAAATGGTTAAATACAGCTATAAATTAGTAGAATTTTAATAAAAATAAGCAAAAATAGTTAAAAATAGCCATAAATTACTACAAATTTAATAAAAAAAATAACGAAAATGGCTATATATTGCGGGAATTTTTATGAACATAATGACAAATCGCTAAAAATAGATATATACTGCCGCAAATTTAATATAAATAACCAAAATTGTCAAAACTAGCTATAAATTAACTAAATTTGAGCAAAAAAAGAAGACAAAGCGCTTAAACATGATCAGATATTTTCATGCGAACATACGTGAGTTCCATATTTTTAGCCCCAACGGGGCTGCGCTGACAAGCTTTTTTAGTTACTAAACTTGACAATCAAAAAATCCAAAAGACTAGACAGTTTTGGGCAGAGCTAGGCAACTCAGCAGAAAAAAGTGAATTAATTCAATTCAATTCCTGAAAAAAACTTTTGAATTTAATTCAATTCAATTCAGTCATAGCAAAAATTCCATTCAACTGAATTCATTGATTATGTATATTTTTTTCAACTCAACTTAATTCAAATTGAGTTATCTTAAAAAAATTCTCTATGAAACTCAATTGAATTGAGTTGCTCAGCTCTGATAGATATAGGTAAATACACATGTGATTCATTAACTAGATATGAAAGATGTAGACAGAAATTACAAAATAAATCGAAACAAGGACTAGATATTTGATTACTTTTATTATTTGAATTTTGTTTTCTGAAAAATAATTTTCGATTCTTTTTGAGTTAATTTCGATTCAATCACTACTCTTTGAAACTTTTTTCAATTCAATTCAATTCGACTAGGTTAATGAATGGAATTGAGTTAAATTGAGTTCGTCATTTTTGGAACTAACTTGTCCATTTCTGGTTTTGGAGCTGAGCCCCATCACCCTTAAACTTCTGGTTACGCCACTAGTCAAGTGTATACACTTTGATACACTTGTCATACGAAAACAAAATGTACACATACACTTGGCTAAGAAAAATAAAATGTACATATACATTTTGTTTTAGATTTCTATTAGAAACCCTGGTCTGTAATTTCTTTATACATTTTGTTTAGCAAAATTAATCCAAATACTCTTAAAGTTTTGTATATATTCTATATCATTGCAATATGTTTTCTTTTGTTCACTTATCTTTTGAATCCATAAGGTCTAAGCTTGTGAGATAATTCTGGAACCATTCCTCCATATTACAATTATAAGAAATAATAAACGCAGAATACATAAACTCTACATTCGAAATTCACAGAATAGAGGGCATCCATAATACTCCCAAAAATTTAACCACCTAGGAAACTCACAATTCATGAAGATGAAAAATTGTGAAAACTCTACAGGCACAAAAAAACAACATTTTCTTCACTTTTGCAAGTCAACAAAAATAATTTTGAATAAATAGATATACATAAAGTTATTATTCAATAAAGAATATAATAATTTTTTTAAATTTTATTTTGTATTAAATAGAAGAGAAAAAAAGAAAATAAACAAAAAAAAGGGAAAATATATTTATACCATAAATAATAAATATTGTAACGGGGAGGCCTTTCGAATTTTTTCTTCTTTATCAAGCTAGTTTAAAAATGGACGTATATTTTTATAATAAGCATTATGAAGATATTGCATTATAATTGAAGACGAAAAACCGTTAAAAGAATACAGATTTAGCTTCATAATAGATGCTATGAAGATATTACATCACGATGATAGACAAGAAACGTGTAGAAATATAAAAAAATTGAGAGGACTGCTCAACAAACAGAAAAGGAGAAAGAGAAAAAAAACTTCTGGCTGAAGCAGTATACTTCACAATAAATAAGTGGTAATATAAAGCGATAAATATCCCGGACAACTCCTAAAACCTTTTAGGGTCGTACAACTGCATATCTACTCCTGCTCACGCCAGAACAAACATATAACACCATGTTTTCATCGACAAGTCCTTTATTGAATAGGTCTTATTACGTCGAATATGTAGTAAAGATTTATTATTAGCTTAAGAACCGAATCATTCAGCAATTTTTCATAAAACATCAAATTTCACTTATTACAGTTAGGATAAACCTTTAAAATTAACGTCTAGCCGTTTCTGTATTTAACCCTACTATTTCCTCCACTATTAATACAGCTTAGAAGTTAAAAGGTGCATTTCGTGTGAATTTCTCTTAGAAAGATATTAGGTATTTGATATTATGATTCTTAAAAAGAAACTACGGAAAGAAGAAGTATGTTGTAAGCTGTTACGAATAGAGTACATTACAGTGTGCCATAGCAAAGATCTTCATCTGTTTCGAATATTATTATACAGTTAAAATCTACGACCATTTAACAGTAAGATTTCAAACAACTGTTCTTTTTTTAAAGGGTGTGGGTGTGGGTGAGAATACTAATGCATCATCTTATCTACACCCACACCCATTACAAGATTATCTTGTCAACTTTTGAAGAGTATATTAGGTATTAAAATGTATTTAAGGACACATAATATTTATGCCCTTACTACTATATTAGTACGAGTGCGTCTTCAATAAAGCCGAAACAAAAGTCAAAATTATATCTATTCAGACGAAATCAATACTTTTAATTATTTATTAATGTTTCGCAAAAACACACAGGAAAAAAACCGAGATAAATACACAAATACAAATATTTTCTTTCTTTAATTATACAAAGTCAAAAAAAAAGAAATGAAATTTTTCAACATATATCGGGCCAAAAAAAAAGTGAAAAGTTAACTTATGAATTAACTTTACAGAAGTAAACAACAATGAGAAAATGTTTTCAAACAAGAACAAATACATAATAAACACAAAAAACAATTATTCTACATTATAACAAACATCGGCACAAATGAATTTATATACATATATATGTTTATGGCTAAAAATCGCCATTAACACTGTCATCATCGGAATCAATCATAACTTTTCGTCGTTTACTTGTTCCACTACCTTTTTTCTTTCCTTTTGTTGGTGTTGAATATGATGCTGGTAATAATTCCGATATAGATTGTATTGTATCTTCAATATCAGCATCAAATGCAAGTAAATATCGTTTAAAATCACCGAATTCTTTTATAATTTGTTTACGTTTTTGAAAATTATCATATTTTATTATTGGTTTAATTGTATCAAGTATAACTTTCGGTTCAAATTTAACATTTATTTTTCGTGTAACTATTGGTCGATCAGTTATTTTACATGATTCTGTATGATCATATTCAATAATTTTTGTATCATTTAAATAATAAACATCTTTAAGATAAGATTTTAATAATAATAATAACATTGTTGATTTTGTTGTATATAAACATTGATTTAATTCATTAATTATTGTTTCAGATACGTCATACAATTTTTTTTCAATTTTAGTTATATCAATACCTTCATCATCATCAGTATAATCTAAATGTTGTTTTAATAAATCACGAAATTGTTGTAATTGTGTTGAACCACTAACACTTATAGATAAATCAATTTGTTCAATAATAAATAATGGTTCATCTTGAACTTGATATGGAAAATAAGCAAGATTATCAGCAACAAATAATTGTTCATCGAGTGTTAATGATGTTGATGATGATATACTTGTATCATTATCAAACATTTTTAATAATTGAGTTATTAAACCACGACGATAAACACGAGATGAACGAATTAATGAATAGAGAAAATGATTGACAGAACAATATGGTAATTGATGACTATTCATCGGACCTATAGGAACTTTTGTCATACCTAATTAATAGAAAAGATATAATAAGTTTTTTGAAAGTTTGTATTACAATGAGGAGTAACAAGTATTCTTTGGCATATTTTGTCTTGTATTCAAGACTAGATTTTTAAAGATTCAATAGAGATGAAAAATGTTTTGACCCGTTGTAGCTGATGTTAACTGAAAAAGAAATCGGAGATCTCGACATTTGTCTGAATATCCAATTTCGTAAAAACTTTTCTGTCTGTTATTTCTATCGAAATCTTGGTAAAAGTAATTCGTAAATGTACAGTGATTTGCTGATAGGTTTTAATAAAATCATTACGTCTTTCATCTGATCGATATTGTGATGTTGAGGGTGGGTGTGGGTGTGAATACTGTATTCAACTGACACTCACACCCACCCACACCCTAATCAATATATTTAGTATACTTAAGTCTAATATTATTTTACATATTTTTAAATGATTTTTTACCTCGAATAATATCTGATTGTGGATCTAATTGTTGATTATGATTATTAGTTTTCGATATTAAAAGTAATTTTTGTAATTGATAACTCATTTTTAATCCTGTTATAACTTTTGTTTGTATAATACCAGGATTTGTTTTATCTAAATCTTGTAAATTTTGTTCAGCACTTTGTTGAATATTTGTATCACGATCAGATGTCATTGCAATAAGAAATGGTATAAATTGTACAGGATGTACAAGACCTTGTTCTAATATACATGAAACGACTTTACGTACACATTGACGAATAATTTCATCTTCACTTAAATATGTATCTAATACAATACGTAAATAACATTGTGCTATTGAACTAGCCATTTCTGAATGTACATCAGTTGTATCTTTAAGATTAGCACCAGTTATTGCATGAGTATCATCATGATTTTCTTCTTCATTTGTTGGATTTGTTTGAAGATAATCTGTATCTTGTTCAGCCATACGACGAATACAATCACGAAAATATTCTTCTAAATTAATTAATACTTGACAACGTAATTGAGCAGCTGATGGATGACGATCAAGTAAATATGTATGATATAATTGACGAACTGTATCTTCAATTAAATATTGACCATAACGTTGAAGAAAATACCCAAGACCAACAAGAGATTTTAATTTAAGGACAGGATCAGGACGTTTAATAAAAAACATAAATAATTCAAAGAGATCGTCTATAGAAAACTAAATAAAAGAATAGAATTTTTATATTAAATCATATCTTATTTAAATTTCTGAAGTCGCGTATGTATACTCTCTCAAATATAGACAATTCTTTACCTCAAGATCATCATATTCACTTTTTTCCACATCAAAATATTTGCATAAAACACCTAATATATAAATTGATCTTGCTAATTGTGCAGTTCCTTTAAATTCTTCATTTGGTTTTTCTATAATTTTTTCTTGACATTGAATAACAAATGCTAATATAATATAAAACGAAATAAATATAAAATTATTTTTTTTCGCCTATTCACTTACAATGATATCTCATAAAAACATCTTTAACAAGTGGATAATTTTTTGATAAACGTATAGCAGCTGATAAACAAGCTATACTTGAATGTATAACTAATTGACCACTAACAAGTAATAATTTTGTTAAACTACCTTCTAATGAATAGATGATACTTGATGACGCTGATTTCATTAATGGAACAGTAAATTCAAGAATTTTAGCAACATATTGTACAATAACATTATCATTATAGGATGTACATTTTATATTTAAATATTCAACTATAGTTGATACATGTGGTAAAACATGTTCAGGTTTAGCTTTACCTAATGCATACAGTGCAATAAATGTTGCAACCATTTTATTTGATGAAATCTTTAAGAAAAATGTTTGTAAAAGAAAACTTTAATAAAAAAAATAACGAACTTGATCATTGGCTGATTCAATTTTAAGTATTGATTCAACTAATTCATCGATTATGTCTTGTATAGCTTTTAAAACATCTTTTCGATGTTCAAGAATTTTCTTTTTATCATCATTTGATTGTTTATCATTTATATGAAGAAATTCTTTAACTAAATTTTCTAACCATGTATTATTTTGTTTTTGTGCATCAATTAATACATCAATTATTGTTTGAACACGTTGTCGAATATCATATGAATTACGTGTTGGTGTAAACCATAATTGTTGAAATGTTTCCAAAACAAGTTTACGTATAGATTCTTCATCATGTATACGTCGTAATAAACGTGAACATATATCAGGTATACGAACAAAATCTGGTTGAGTTAAACAAACATCACGAAAGATTTTAACGACACGTTTACGAACACTTACACCTATAAAGAAATATTCAT